CAGCGGCCCCAGCCAGGACACAGCTGAGCCCCTCAGCCGAGCTGGGGGCGCCCGGGGGAAACCAGGTTGGAGCAAGGGCCAAAGGCGGCCCAGGCAGAGGAGGGGGAAGCCGAGGAGGGAGCAGCAGCAGAGGGACCCCGAGGCCGGAGGAGGAGGAGGGCAGGAGGTGCTGCAGGCCCGGCGCAGGGATCCCCTGCAGCCCTGGAGAGACCCCGCGGGAGCAGAGACCCCCCCTGCAGCCCGGGGAGGGCCCCACGCCGCAGCGGGGGGATATTTCCTGCAGGAGCTGCGGCCGTGGAGAGCCCCGGCGGGAGCAGGTTGTCCCTGCAGGACTGCAGCCCGGGGAAGGGCCCGCGCTGGAGCAGGGACACGGGGCAGGAGGGAGGAGCGGCCCAGAGGGCTGCCAGGGACCCACCGCCACCCCCAGCCCCAGCCCCTGCGCCCTCGGCAGGGGAGAGGAGTCGGCAGGGAAGGGGGGAAGCTGGGAATGGGGAAAGACCCTGAGGTGGGGAGGTGTTACTGATTTGTATTGATTTTTTTGGTCTTTGTCTCTCACGATCAGAATCTATTTTAACTGGAAGAAAAATTAAGTTTCCCTGTTTCAACTCTATTTTGCCCTTGACAGTAATTGGTAGGTGATCTTCCTTTCCTTATCTCTGCACAAAGGTGAAATGGAAATATAAGGGGAAAAGCACCCCCAGACTTTTGCAAATTAACATCAGGAACTCCGCACTTCCTTCTCCACTAAGTGAACAGTAATCAAACACCGACTTTTCAACATTTTTCCCCCACGCTCTCATGATAAATCTGCACCTACATCTTCAAATGTACAACCTGGATAAAATAAACACTAGCCAAACAAGTCAGCCAAGTCACCTGAAGTCAGGATTGCAGAGAGGATACAGCTTATACAACCCAAGTGGACTTCACCTAGGACATTTTGGATTTTGCTTCTGAGGTGTTTTTAATGCCCCCAGTCTGAGCTGAGATACCTCTCACTGTGCGTTTGACTTACCTCTAACATACAGTGTAGTACGATTAGAATAAATCCCTGTTCAAGTGTCTGTCAGGAGCTGGACAGGTATAGCTGCAGGAAGCCTACGAAAAAAGATTGCCTCAGAAATTCTTTCAAGTCCTGCTGATAGATTCCTATTGACTACAAAACCAAATAAAAAGTCCTGGTCACACCAAGACCTCATGTGCTCTTTGCTTGTCTCAACTTTATTGGACTTTTTGGATCTTTCTTGCTCTGAAAACCTGGATGATGCTTTCACAAGGTACTTAACATGTTGCCTTCTATTCCTTACTGGGTCAGAAACATTCAAAAGGCCTTTCAGAGCTTCTGTTCCTATATCCAGCAGGAATTAGCAAGAAAAGAAGTATAAGGAAGAAAAATGCACTATGTGTTTTGCACCTCTAACAGCTCACCATTTGGGTTTGCTCCTGGGTTTAGCTGGAGGCTCCACACATGCTTTATTTTAACTGAACCAATTTCAGCTTCCATTGCTACCATAAATTTCTGGAGACAGAAGAAGTGTCAGCAGCCTACCCAGGGTAGAAGCCTATGTACTCAAGGAACAAAGTTAAAAGTGCTCTCTGCTAATGATTTTCCAGCACTACTCTTTTTATTGATGTTTCTGCTGCATTTGCCTGAAAGCATGTCACCCCCAGGGCCTCAGTGAATATTCAGATGAAACGATTATGTTTAAAATCATGTCTCTCACAAACCGAAAATTAAGGCAACCTGTTGGTACAAACGACTGAGAGCATTAGCACATTGATCCCAAAAGCAAGCATGGTGCCAGCTCATTTCTGAAGTTACAAGGCTGTTTTCCAAGAGTTTAATGTGCCCAGGTTACACCAGCATGAGAAATCAGAGCCAGCGTTTATGCTCTCCCAGCCCCACACTGACAACTAGAAATCGTGGTTTAGATCAACAGTGTTTTCCCTACTGCTGCTAATTGCTGAGTTCTTCTGGAATTAACCCTACTGCTGCTTAAACTCCAAGTCAGTCATTGCCAGTGGAGTTACACACTTGAGTGTGGGATCCCACTCCCTGTGATTCACCCCAGAGAAGTGCAAGGACAGAGTCTAGTGCAGAGACCGATTCATTATTAGTGGGCCCAACTCAGGCTCCTCCAGACTTGCACAAACTGCTAGATGGAGACTTTGGCTGGGATATTTAAAACTTCCAGTCTTCACAATTTGAAGAGACAAGGAAATGGTTACAGCAAGAATGAAAGACAGTGAGGAGAGCCTCTGAAGACCTTCTTGATTCCATGTTTCTGGTTCTTATCTTTTTCCTTTCCTCTAGTCTGTTGATAACTATATTGTCTTTTTCTATAATTCTCCACAAAATCCATATGGCAATCACTGACAATGTAAAAAAATCTTAGACTGTTGCTCCATGTCCTCACTTCTAAAACCTTTCCTGAATCTCTTCTCCGTTGTTTTGCTGCCGATCCAAGACTGAGTTATCCAGCTGCGGGCTGAAAGGAGAAAGAACTGCAAGCAGAGACCTAGGCAGTATGTCCAGGGACATTTCTGCACATTGTAGGGGACAGCCAAGACATTTGGCTCTTTCATAGTGTTCCCATCTGTTTCAAGTTGTGACTGGAATCCAGTTATCTCTGTGTTGTCCTCTACACACTTCCAGTGAGCCACCATGTTTGTCTCTAGAGGTCTAAGGAATCTAAGAAGTATTAGCCCTTTTTAATTAATCCTAGGAAGTGTTATTCTGCTGTGCTGTGAGGCCTGTAAAATTCTCTGGGGGTGGAACATGCTATTTATGAAATATGCACTATTCCTAAATTAGATAATTGTCCCAGTAGCTTGCAAGTTTTGCTCATGACTCTGGAAAAGGATCTCACTATTCCACTTGCTCTGTGTTTGTTGTGTCCGCCCACTGTCTCTTTATTTTACATTGAGGCTAAAAAATCTTTGGGGTGGAGACCATCTTTGTGTCCTGCTTTTCCACAGCCCAATGGAAGGTGATGAAGCTTGCTTTTGCAGACACATGGATCCAAATCCTTAAAGTAGTATTCATTCCTATATGAACTTTATTTACATAAGAATGAATCCCCCCTCATTATTTAGTTGTTATTTTTTTTCCCTTTATACTCAATGTTTAAGAATGTTTTTATGGATCTGTTAGATCCCAGCTCCACTGCTTGTGTCCTCTCAAGTTCAAACACATTACTGAGTCAGATTTTTTCTGGTGTCAGTCTGAAGACAAAATAACTGAATTGACTTCAGGGAGTGACGCTACACATACAGCATGTAAATGGAAGCAGAGCTTGATTCCCCTCGATACCCACCTTGATGTGGCCAGAGTTCTCTGGCGAAAATCCCTCTTTTGCCCTAATCTTGCTTTCTCAATGGCATTCTTCTGGAATTACCTTTGCCCTCTCAATGTTATTTTATGTGTGCACAGGACTGCTTTTTTATTGCTCACTTTTTACACTAGCAAACATTAGATAACATCAAGTCACACCTATTTTACTAGCAAAAGGCAACATTTTGGGAGCATCCGACTGTAATTGTTCAGATAAGTGCAAGAGTTCCCTTGATGCTCCTACATTGATACAGTTTTCTGTTATGGAAAACATTTGACTATCATCACATTTCAGACAGAATAGATTTAAGACCATATTAGAGCAAAAGGATGAACAGATTTAGGATGGAGAATGAAGCATGATATTCCCTAGACTGCTTTTCCAGCTAATGCTGGCCAGGCATTTCTAAACCAAAGCCACCATTATTCTTCAGTATACAGGTCTAAGGATGGAGCCCAGATTTTTCAAGTATTTGTATCATGTCACAGAGCCCACTGTGTTCCTTGCCACTTTGATACAGTAGTTTATTGCCTTTAGAGTATAGTTTAAACAGACTTTAACATGACAGAAGTACAGTCAGTCACTAGAATGAATGTGTTCTTTCCTGTCCTTGCCTCCTTCATGCTGACACAAGCACTGCTGAAGCCGTTCAGTAAATCAAGACTGGGACAGAACCCAGCTGAAAATTAATCTTTTTGGGTGAATTTGCTATGCTAAATTCCCTGTTCTAGGTCACTGTGCTGCTGTTTGAGAAGCAGTTGCTAGCATAAGGGGGTGGTGGGAAGGCCTAACCAGTGCAAAGAAACAGGACAGCATGCAGTTAAAATGCTACACCCAATTCCTGTATGAATTTCTCAAGATTCAGCTTCCACTAAGTTTTTTATATTCTTTTTTTCCTTCTTCTTAAAGAACCTTGTTTAAACTACAGATCAGACTTCTTCCCTGTCACATGGAAGGTAAGGTTTTTCAGAATTCAGATTAGCCTTCTAGCACCTTTCCAATAAGTGAAGATGCTTTATGAAGCATGGGACACAACCTGAAATTCCATGTAAAGCTGGACACTGGCTCCTGGAGACACCATTTCAGTAATGACCTTGCTAATGCTGGAGGTGAAAAAGTTTTTTAGTCCCTTCCCCAAATCAAAACTCTTCTGCCCATGCATCCAACAAAAATTTGCCACTGCAGCTACAGGGCAAAGTTGGGACTTCCAAGTCCTTTTAAATCTCACTGTTTTACATTTTTAAATTAACACTTCAGTTGTTCCTGGACACATGATTTAATGCATTTAGTTACACTAAAAGAGCTAGGTAAAGGAGTATAGCAATAACAAGTCTTTCTGATATATGTAGTGACCTTCCCATGGTTCCAGACAATTGGAGGTTGTTCATGCTAGCTGGGTTATCATTGTATTTCCAAGGCAGGAGTCTCAACCAGGTGGGCTCCAACACCCATTTGAGGAACCTTCTTACATCGTGGCTTAACGAAGGGCAACAGCTCAGGTAACCCAGACTAAACTCAACAACCCTCCTACTGTATATGGCATCCCTCTTCTATTGTACATGGCAAATCTCAGTAGCATATTCTTTGGAGATCACATTAATACTGTCTGAAATAGTTTCCTGCTGGGAACTTGTGAGATGTCGCCGAAACACATTTGGATTGCAGTTTCACATTCACTATTAAGTAGGTGCAGCGAGTCAGAGATGCAGCTGAGTTTATGAGTTAAATTAATATTTGTCCTTACTGCCCAGACATCACAAGGAAGATTTACCTCTTACATTTTTTTTTTCCTGGTTTAGTGTCTAATTTTAATTGCCTTCTTTGTGTTGAACTATTACAGCAGTCCTTACTCAACTTGAAATATCTGGCTTGCATATCTCTGAGCCCTCATTCCCCAGTTACTCTCACCACAGAAAATTGACAGATAAAGCTGGTGACAAGTCACAAGGTGACTGATTTGTTTAAGTACTGCAACTGCCGCTGTCACAAACCTGGGCATAGTTTCAATCCTGGTAATATGTTTTCAGCAAGAAATACACAAGAATGAATTCCAGAAGAATCTCTGGATGCTGGCTTTTCTCTTACTAAGAGATCAATTAAGGAATATGTAATTAAAACAAAAACAAAAAAATTTTCACATTTTCTGATATTGTTGGAATGCAGAAAAACACTCAGATAACTTTCAAGACCTCATCTGCTCTGTCTTTGACTGTCTTCATCATGTACCTGGAGGAAAGAATAAAAGGCAAAAGTAAACTTACTTATTTTCTGCAATGAAGGTGCTTTGTTCTTCTTTTCTCTTCTCCCACCAACCCAGCATGTTTAAATGCTGAGTTCTGTTTCTAGCTACATTCTATTTTTCCAAAGGCATCCATGTTTTTTTGCCAACTCTTTTATGGCAAGACCCACCATTTTTTTTAAGTCCCAGCTTCTAAGATAATTTAATAAGCAGAAAAGACCACCTTTACTAAAAAAACAAATCAAGCAACCAAACCAGTGAACTACCAGAAGACAGCAAACATCCCAATTTTTGCTGTAAAAGCCATTTACAAGGCAAATCTCATTACATGTTAACCTTATAATAATATTTGCTCTGTGCTAGCGTCTCTGGCAGCTTGTCATAATAGCTGTGTAAAAAAATGCAAAATAGTTTTTGCTCCCTAAAAAGATTTCTGGGACTAAGTTGAGACAGCACATGTTTGGTTTATATCATATTATACATAAAAATAATATTCAGTCTTCAAAAGATCGCAGTGATCTTAAAAGGTGATCAAAGGTGAACAGGTAAAAAGTGTAAGACGGAGCTGTTGAGATACGACAATGAAAATATAAGGATTAGCTCTTCCCCATTCACCAAGAAACTGGGAAAAAAACAAACAGAAATAGGCCTGAAGAAATCAAGGAGAAGCAGTCATCTCTTAGATGCCACCTTCTGACGGATTCAGTGACTATCTTGACACTAGCTGTAAGACAATGAAGAAGAATCAGTGCAAAGTGACAAGTTACTTTTATTGTACATTTTTGCACTACATGTCTTGGTTGGTAGTCCTGCAAGTAGACAACTGGAAAGACAGACCATACAATAATAGAAAAGTTGAAGGACATTGCAGGTCATCTGGCCATTGTTGTGTCTGAATGAAGGATTAACTCTTCTGAAATCATCCTTGGCAGGTGTTTGTCTAATATATTATTTAAAATCTCAATGACAGAGATTCCCCTCTCTGTAAACAGCATTCTTCCATGTTTATTGTCTTTAAAAGTATTCCTCCTTTTCTGATTTAAATGTCTCTTTCTAAATCTTAAGCTAATTACTTTTTGCTCTCCCAACCACGGATATGAAGAACATTTTAGTCTTGTCTTTCTGAAACAAACTTGCCACAGCTGAAAGTAGGAGGGTAGGAGGGCTGTATTCTCAAGAGAAAACTATGTTATTTCTTCTCGTCTTTCCCCAGACACAATATTTTCAGGTTCCTGTTTTTCTCTTGGTCCCTCCATCCAGTCCACACCCAGATTTTTCCTGCATAGTCCACATGTGTCTTGAAAAGTTGTACTCCATGCTGGAGTCAGGACTGTAGCTGGAGTCTTTCTAGTGTTGAGAAGAGGAGGAGGATATTTGCCCTACAAACCACTTGTTTGAGCATCTCAGAAATAACAGAGGTGTTCAACAATATTAACTTATTTTCACTTTGTGGTCTACTAATGTCTCCAGACACTCTGAAGACTTCTGTCTAAGCAGTCAGTCTAAAACATTTTTCTAGGTAGCTGTTGTATCTAAAGTTCCTATGCATTACATGGTGTGTGACACTCAGTCTTCATCCACCTGGATGATGTCTCCCAAGGCCATCCTTCGAGTAGACTGTTTCCTCACAAAAGAGGCTTCATCCACTTCCCTTTGCTTTGCTCCTCGTTCCTTCTGCTTTTTGGCCACATTTTCAATGAGCTTGCTTGCATCACTGAGGGTTTTTTGTGTTCGTTGACCCACAGATTTCTTCTTGCCTTCTCCCACACTTGGATCTGTGACTTTTAAGGGTTTGTTTTTTCCATGGTCTTCTTGCTGTTCTTTCATATGCCTTACTCTGAATCGGCGCTGAGAAACATTCTGGCAAGGATCAGGGATGCTGTCAGAGGTGTTAGACTCTTCGTGCATGTCAGAAACCTGGAGAGTGGGGATTAATGGTTTACGGAGTGTTTTGGGAGCCTCTTCAACACCTAGTTGTTTAGTCAACTTGGAATTTGTCTCTGGAGGCAAAATAATTTGAATTTCTCCCAGGGGTTTACTGCTTTTAGGGGGTAGAGGATCATCTTTATTCTCCAGAGCAGCCTTCTCACTTAGCTTTATCTTTTGAAGGTTTTCCAGCTCCCCCTGAGCCAGATTCTTTACCCTTTTCACATGGGGTTCATTGCTGATGGAGTTGATAACTGTCAGCTTCTGAGCAGCCATTTGGGCTTCTCTCTTAATGCTCATAATCTTTTGGAGCTGAGCTTCTTTCACCTCCACAGGGATCTCTAGAGGGGCCAACTTCACTGGCCTCTTCAGGGTGATGTTCTCTGTGCCACACAATTCATTTACACGATGCAGGATGGGAGACAAAGCTCCCTCTTTTTTCACCTTTTCTGGCCACAATTTTTTCTCTCCCTGGGATAACATCTTCTCTGAAATCCTTGGAGAAGGAGGTCTAAAGCCAATGTTCCTACGTTCAATTCCTGGCTTTCCTCCTGCCAAGACGAGAATGGGATTTTTCTCAGGCTGCAGGTTCACAATTGTGACTTCACTGACAGTGCAGTTATACTTGGGCTTTTCTTCAGCCATTGGGGCACCCTTAAAGAAAGCAAACAGATGGGGGGATCACTATCATATATTGCATTAATCATCATTGTTAGGCTTTTAGATGATATTTGGGAGTTTGACAAGAATCCAAGCTTAGTGTCCCTTGAAGTGTACTCCTCGTAACTATAAATTCTAAGCACTGTGCTCCGTATTTTGGCTTACTCCTGGCCAATATAAAATAAAGGAATCTTAGGAATCAGGGCTTGTCTCCTCCCTGACTGTCACTAGTGCATCGCAAAAAGCATTAGCACTCTTCCTCTCACTCTGTCCCAAATACTGAATGCCCTTTCTAAGCAGTGAGCAGCACCAGACTGTACACTGCAGTCACTAAATTAGAGGAAGATTAGGACCTCCACAACACATGGAAAATATCAGAGAATTTATGTTCGCTTAGGGAAGCTCCTAGTTGAGTTTCAGGTGTGGGTCCTTCCCTTTTCCTCTGATATTCTGAGTGATGGGCGTTCCTGATGAGAGCGATCATCCAGCTCACTCCTGTGTGTATACTGACATGCTTTATAGGACAGGGCAAATAATTTAATTTCTGCCAAGATACTGCCTAATTTCACAAGGTACTTTTCCATTAAGAATTGACAATTAAATGAATGATGATTTTACTTGTGTCAATACAAAATACTATCAAATGGGCTTAAATGATGTTCAGAATACTGTGGATATTATTCAGTTTCAAAAGCAATACTTCTGAGGTGCTAAATAAAGGAACTGCTAAATGGCAAATGTGGTGAACCTGGAGTTCATTTCTTGCCATTGTACAAAGAAACTCTATGTCATGTTTGGGACAAGTTCCTCATTTTCATCTATCGTATGAGCATCTCTTTGTAAACATGGTGGTGTATTCAACTTTCTAGTGCTGTATAGTCAATGATGGGTTCATGTGTGTTATCAGGAGATGGGGTCTGTTCCTGCTTCTGACAAAACAAGTTCTCTTCCCTAAGGTTCCTTTTGCATTCCCACTGTTTCCTGTACAGACTATATATTTTTATGGGGCAGTCAAGAGCAATATGCTTGATTCTATCTTGGACTGCTAGACCTTATCATAAAAATATTTTTTAAAATGGTAGTATTAACTTGTTTTCCTCTGACAAACAGAGAACATTATCTATTTTACTTCACAGCTCCTCTCATCTCATTTAATCAAATCTGCATTTGTAATTCCTATTCACTGATATTGGTGGGAATTTTTTTAAGTATCTGGTCTTAGTGTCTTTGTAAATCAAAATGGTACTCCTCTTGCCCTTTCTGTGTCTTGCTGTGTTCCAGGAAAACGGTTAATGTTGCCTACAGCTCTCTAGATGCAAAGTGAAATAAAATAAACAGAAATAAACCCTTGTACTAAAATGCAGGTATGTAAAGCAAGGAGACAGAATGAAAGCTCCAACGTAAAGTGAGGTGTGGGAATGGAAAGGAAGAAAAACTAAACAATATAGTACCTACAAATTATTGTTTTTAAAAGATCTTGGTTGAAAAGTCTTTTAGCTACCTTTAAAAAGTGAGTACCCAACTAAAACCCAGCCAGCTATCCAAGCCTAGAGAATAACCTGCCTAGACAAGGCCTCTTTCTAGTTATGGACATTCTTTGTTTTCGGTTTCAGACAAGAGTTATTAGGTGATCAGATAATTATCTGCTGTGTTCATCTGAGGAAAAGTCAGCCAAGTTAAGAAGGTTTGGAGAGATTTTACACACCACCTAAATCCGATTGCAGTCCTAAAGTTAATACACTTAAAAGCCATCCAAGGCCAATGTGCAAGGTAAGTTGCATCCTGTTACCCTGCACACATTACTCAGTACCTCCTCAAAATGTCCATCTGCTATGTATATGCTCCTACTTAAAATTTAATTAAGTAATTGGCCCAATCTTGTCTAGGTAATTGCTCTGTGCCCAAAATTCCCTTTGCAGTCAGTGATAGACCTATATTAAGAATGACTGCTTCAAGCTCTCAGGATCAAAGTATTATGATAGTGGTATTATCAAAGGGACCACCAATCTTTATTTAGAAATGTGGAGGTCTGAACTCAGCTGGCCGTTCACACACACACACACACACACACACACACACACACATCCTCTCTGGTGAAATAGGGGAGGGACAAAAAAAGAGAATTTGTAGGTTGAATAAAAAGAAAGAATTTACTAAATATAACAAGAGAAACACAGTAACAATAATGAGTCCAAAAAAGAAATGGGTAAAATGCAGCAGTGGTTTACTGAGCACAGCAACCGTCCCCCACAGCAACACACACCCAGCCTAGACCCAAAAATCCCCCCCCCTATATCCCTGGGCATGACATCACATGGTATGAAATACTCCAATGAAAGTTAACTCCATCCTGGTCTAAACCAGGACAAGAAACCACAACCTTCATGTAATTTAAATACTTTCCTTCCCAGTCTCAGTTTGATGATCCTTCGGATTTAAACTGCACAGCAAGTGGAAGGGCAGAGACAGAAGGGTCATGGTACATTATTAATATTTTACTAAATTTATTGCATGCACTGTAGCCTGGTGGTAAATTAGCATGGAGTGGTCTCAGATATAGGAAACGATGTCCCCCGTAAACAGGAAACTGATGACCCTCTATTTTAATCTATCTTAGTACCCAGACTGGATGGTCCTCAGAGAGATGTGCTTCTGCTATTTTGACTTCGTTTTGATTTCAGGAGTCTGCTCATTGAAGGGCCATAAACATTTGGTTTGTAGGCAGATTTGCAATACAGTCTTGGGGAAATCTAATACCAGTTGGAAATTTTGTTCACTAGTTTGACTACTAGGTCAAGAGAAGGGCTTGAGCTGAGGTTCCTTTCCAGTCTCGGTCCTCAGCCTCTCTTGATCCACAGCTGATGAAACCAGACAGATTTAAAGCAGCCTCAGGAGCCCTGAGGTTTTCTGTTGGTATGTACCTGGCAGAAATGGGGACCCAAAAGGGGCCAAGCACATAGGATGCACTTAGATATCCTGACAACCAGCTGGACTTGAGCCAGAAAGTCAATCTGTCAGCAGGATAAAGCAGCAGGTTGTTGTGCTACCACAAAGCGCTGCAGGGCTTGAGATCCAAACCATTTTACGCATTTCCCTGTATCGCTCAAAAACAATTCCCCATTTCGGTCCTATTGTGGACATAACCACCAGCAAGTAATACTGAGACTAAAGTATACATGATTATAGATACATCGTGGTGGAAGAGAATCCTTTAAAAACCCCTGTTTTCCTAGTCACCCTTGTGAAGTTTCCTCTCTTTGCTCAATGAAACCAAATTTAGAGTACATTACATAAGAAAATAAAACAAAGCAAACCAAACCAAACCAAACCTCTAAATCCCAAGATCTTCTTACACCAGAAAAAGCTGTAATCTCATTGCTACAGGATAATCTATAGTGATAAGCAGATGTTACACAACTCAGAGGCTTTTACTTCCCATCCTCATGTGTATCAACTGATTGCTGCGATTTGAAGTGGAAGGACAGAAATACCTAAGAAAGGAAGTTCACAGATCAGATCCTCTAGTTTATCTGGTTGAAAGCTTGTCCCCAGAGTGGATTTTTTGGTGTTCAATTTCAAAATAAACACCAAGCCTTCAGTGTGCCTTAATTCTCTATGTGATGCCTAAAGCTCTGCTACTGAAAAGTCCTCTGTCATGTGGAGATCCATTACACATGCTGTCATTCAACGGGGGAGAGAAGAAATTCTGTTTAAACATCTAGGGATGAATGGCTTTACTTCCACTTCAGATTCTGCATATGCAGTAAATAACTCAGGTCATTGTGAATGAACAATGCAACAAACAGAGACAACACCTGAATAACTTCCCAGAAAAGCCCTAAATATCCAGTTGCACGGTACTCTGTCTGCTTTTGTCAGCTGGCATAAAGATCACCCCTGAAACTTCAGGAATTTACATCATCATTTGCTGTACCAGAAGATTTTAACAGAACAATATTATCTGTGAGCCAGTGGGTCCTAGGAAGTCAGTTGGTCCAATCGGGTTGGTGAAGCTAAAACACAGCAGTGTCTGTAATCAGCAAGATTAAAGGTAGTGCTGACATCACATTGTCTTTAATCCCAAAACAACCAGGTACTAAGGTGGACTGAGTAGGGGGACTTCACACAAGGCCCTGCTGAGTCTTCTCAGTGCAGGATCCAGAGATCATGTGTCATTCTGCCGTAACTCCCTTTCCATTGCACTGCTCAGTAACTTAACAACGATAGCAAGCAGAGTTTCAAAACAGAACGAAGGAAAGACAGCTGAGTGAACACCAGCTCAGTATCAGGGAACCCACTTCAAATCCCCTTTCTACCACAAGCTGCATGTGTGTTGGCAGGGAAGATGTTTTCTCCCTCTGTGACTGTTTTCCACCTGTAAACTTGTACTGATTCCTTCTCCTAACCCATAGAGGAGCATTTTGGATGTAAGTATACTAGAGTATAAGTTAGTTAGCAACAGGTAAAATGGAGTTATGTTAGTTCCCAAGATATGTTTAACTCGAGATAATTTTCAGAAAACAAGTGCTTTACAGAAGGTGGAACCTGTTGAATAATCAAAGCATGAAAAAAATCTATAATCACTTAAAAATTATGTCAAGTAATGCTAAGCAGGTATACAACATTTTTCTCAATGCTGCTCTGCCAATTTCTTTTCATTTTGTAGGATTTTACAGATCCTTAGCACATTTTGCTTCATAGAGGACTTGTTTTTACATTATGGATTTTATTTTGTAGGTGAGAGAAGGTTTTAGACACGACTTAGTATTGCAATCATTAGCATAAAGGAATGTTTTGTGAAAATATATTTAAAATTTATTCATAAACTTTGGGGGATCATAAGAGGAATTACACTATTCCATACCGTTTGGCATTCTCTCATTCCTAAAGATAACATTGCTTTAATAGTTCCTCCATGAATACACAAGGAGACCAGTTTGAGTTCTAGGAAACCTATAGCAGACCTGCCCTTGCAGGTACACCCAGTTTGCAAA